ACCACACCTCTACACCAGACCTCTACACCTCTACACCAGACCTCTACACCACACCTGTACACCAGACCTCTACACCACACCTCTACACCACACACCAGACCTCTACACCACACCTCTACACCACACCTCTACACCACACCTCTACACCACACCTCTACACCACACCTCTACACCACACCTCTACACCACACCTCTACACCACACCTCTACACCACACCTCTACACCACACCTCTACACCACACCTCTACACCACACCTCTACACCACACCTCTACACCACACCTCTACACCACACCTCTACACCACACCTCTACACCACACCTCTACACCACACCTCTACACCACACCTCTACACCACACCTCTACACCAACCCTATAAATCACACCTATACACCAACCCTATAAATAACACCTATAAATCACACCTATAAACCATCCCTTTAAACCATCCCCTATAAATCACACCTATAAACCATCCCTATAAATCACACCTATAAACCAACCCTATAAACCATCCCTTTAAACCATCCCTATAAATCACACCTATAAACCAACCCTATAGACCTCTACACCATCCCTTTAAACCAACCCTATAAATAACACCTATACACCAACCCTATAAATAACACCTATAAATCACACCTATAAACCATCCCTATAAATCACACCTATAAACCATCCCTCTAAACCACCCCTATAAACCGGCCACACATTATCATACAATCGCGGAAGGGATCACGTAACACGGAACCACACACTGAATATATCATTTAGAAATAAACGCACAAACGTATATTCTTAGATACACATGCAGAAAATCAATTTCAAATATGGTAGCGTAACAATATTATATTTATTCAACAATCTGATCACTTTATACGACCTTACCTCAGCAGTTAAGGCCCCATCAATTAGCACCTAAACTAACTCCAATTGTTGAAGCTAATATCTGATATTATGAATTCAATGCTTGTGATTTCATATCTGGTCTTAGATTTTCACCATCTCAACTGGTTCATCTTTTATCATACTGTCACTAATGATTATTGTGTCTAACCATCAGTTTAATGAATTACACTAACTTTTATTGTTAAAAATATTTTTTATTCAATAATCTTAATCTCCATGTTAACTTTACCTTTGTGGTCAAATTTCATTACCGCAACATAACTACAACCATCACTTTTATTACCATCACTTTAACTACCACTATCTTAAACATTATCCTCTATAACCATCCTTATTATATACACCAACGCGCACTCATTACCTTTCCTAAAACCAACACCGACCCGGAAAAACTTGTTTCCGTGTCACGTTTCCTAAAATCAATACCAACTCCCATCCATTTCGCCCAACCAAGATCCATTCTAAAAAATAATATCAAACCGAGAAAAATACTACCTAATATTGGGCTACGCACTTTTACTCTATCCAGCCTTAAGAACAAAATAGAATTTCTTCCCATAGTATGCAATTCTGCCCAAAATATAAAAATCTCACCTGAACTATGGGATTCTTCTCGCACTACAAAATATATTTTCCCATAGTAAAATATTTCAGATGAAAAGACAAAAATCTCGCCTTAACTATGGTATTTTGGTAAAATTAAAAATTTAATAGTAACTCCAAATTGCTCAATTTAAAATCTAATATACACAATTCGATGCTTGTGAATTCAGATCTGGTTGTAATTTTTCACCATCTCAACTCTATCTCCTCTTATCCCCACTGTCACAATCTAATATTCACATTTGCCTTAAACTCATATATCCCACCAAAATAATAATCTACTATCTCATTTATTTCAATAATCTAAATCAACACAAATAATTATCCCAATCTTCCTACTCACATTCTAATATTGGTACTACTACAAGTTATAATAACTAATCTATCATTATACTGTTGTATCTATCATTATACTGTTGTATCTATCTCGACACCTGGATATTAAACTACCTTATATTTTTATCATACACAATTTAAAACACACTAAATTATATATATTCCCACCTCATAAGACTTTAAGATCCCTCTAACAGAAATCCAAACCAGAATAATATCAGTTTCTACCATTCTCATTTCCATTTTTCTGTCACAGAACTAATTCATTTAATATACTTTCAATAGCATTATATCAATTTACATCTATTCATATAATTAACTTGTATAATTCAACTTATTTTATTATAACTCTTCTCTTTCTTATATATTAATATAAATAATTTTACAATTTTTAGTTCAAAATACAATTTTATATTTTGTAATATTTTTTCTTATATGAGTTTCTTTGTTATCCAACTGATAATAAATAATATTTATAGCACTAAATATAAAACTAACAAAACATAAATTTCATCATATTGAATTTTTTTGTCAGGAATATTAAATATTAATGTATTAATGTATTTATATAGGGAAAGAAGCCTTAGATATAATTATTTAAGGTTATTAGTTAAAAGATATATGAGGTTATAAAACTAATATAATAACTATATAGTAATGTTATGAATATCAAGATCTTTATATTCATCTGTTTAATAATAAGAAGTGTATATATTTGCTTTAGGAACTATCTCATTTATATACATTTCATTGGCACTCTATTAGTGACACCCTTTTCATGAAACATGACTAAATCCTCTTTCGTTATTTTAATTCTTTTGTACTTAAACGTAATCAATACAAAACCCTTATCACATAATGATGTAATAAATTAGATCACCGTGGTATTAATAGAGGCACAGTTACCTGAATAGTAAGGTTACTGCGATTCAATGGAATAATTAGAATAACAATTGCCAAAACTAACTTCAGTTACATTTATTGCTATAAAGAGTGATTATTGTATATTAGTGTATATTATTGTATATTATTTAGTATGCTAACTTGCATATAAAGAAAACATCAGTAACATTATTAATTAGTAGTATATTTACTCTCTAATACAGATCTCCACATTAAGTTTCTCTAGAATACATGAATAACAGACTTTATTCTAATGTACACCAAATTAACTATACAACTATATAATAATTAAAACTTACCAAATACTTGTTGGAATATGGTTAGCATAAGAAGCATAGCCACCACGCGAGCTAAGCCACACTAGCAAAGCCACCACAGTTAGCCCAGACACCACAGTTATCATCTAATTTAAATAATTAGATGAAACCCTAAGTTATATAAAAGGATAGGTTTCTATCTTAATGAAGCAATTAGTGGTTAATGACTTCAACAGTTGGTTAGGGTACTTGATAGATCATGTTAGTGAAATCAACCCAATCTGGAGAGACTATGTTGAAACTGGAAATATTTATTCGATTACCCAAGAATTTGATTTAACCACAGATACGGTTAATAATATTATTTCAACTTTGGATAAAGCTTTGAGAAGATTAATTATGAAGAGTATCAGCCCTGAAGTTAAAATAAAAGTCGATGAGTTTTATAAAAATAAATTTAGAATTCGCAACTCATTAAATCTTTTAGCTTATTTGAAAGACCTTTACGGTAAGAGATGTGTTAAACACATTGCACCAATTTATCTTGAAATTAATTCTGCTTCCTCTAAGTCATTGAAGGAGAAAAGTATTTGGATTAAAGAACTCGTTAATTGTATGCTTGATGAAGATAAATTAACTCACAAAATTGCTGATCCTGAAATTAAAGAGGTTGTTGCTGAGTATTTTCTACAGCTGCAAGATTCTGTTTCTGCTATGATGTTAATTGGTATTACTCCAGAAATTGAACAAAAGGTTTATGATTTCTTTGGTCAGAAAGAATCTGTTACTTTCAAGGAGATATCCGACATGATCGAGACTAATAAGTCTTCTACTGCTGATGAAACCGGTACTGCTCTTGTTGCCAAGAAAAACTGGTATGGTAATAAGCAAAAACAATTCTGTAAGACCTGCAAAGGTTTTCATGCTTCATCTAAATGTCCTAATGGTAATAAGACTGCTTCCAAGACAACAACTAACCAAAGTGAGAAAGAAATCTGGGAATCAGGGATGATTGGTTACTATAATGCTGAAAAACCTACCTCAAATGTCCAAGTTAAAGGAGTTTGGATTGCTACTGAATCTGGAGATTTATGTTTTAATTCTCAAATTTTATCCCCCTCCTCTTTTACTTCTGAGGATAAGTCCATTTGGCTTCTAGACACTGGATGTAGTACTCACATTACATGTAATAGAGAATCGTTCTCTAACTTTAGACCATCCACAAATAATGGTACTATTAGTGGTGTAGCCGGTGCTGTTAAAATCAGAGGTTATGGTGATGTTCGGGTTGGCGAATTAACTCTTTGTGATGTTGCTTATGTCCCTGACTTACAGGTTAACTTAATTTCCATTCGTCAAGCCTCTAAGAAGGAAGGTTGTTCTTTTTCTTTTGACAATGCTAATGCGTATGTATTATCTGAAAATAAGAAATTAATCAAGATTGGAAGTGTGTATAAGAATCTGTACGTTCTTGACCAATCCTTGCCTAAGATTGACGAAACTCAAGTATCTTTTGTTGCTACTAGTGATCCCTTACTTCCTTCTGATTTGAAACCTGTTTCAACTGCTATTCGCTGGCATGCCCGGTTTGGGCATCCCGGTTTAGACAGGTACAATACTGTTGCTAGAAAATTCTCACTTCCAAGAATTGTTCCTGATCAAATTTCCGTGTCTCCTACGTGTGCTCTTGCTAAGGGCGTTATGCGTAAAGGTAAGCCATCTGACACCAAACTCACCTGTCCTTTACAATTAGTCCAGGTTGATTTATGTGGTGGTTTTCGCTATAAGGAATTTGAAGATAACAAATATTTTATGACCATTCGTGATGCGTTTACTAGGTATTACGTTGTTATCCACTTGAAAGATAAGAAGGATGCTCCAGTCCAATTATTTAATTGGATTAAGAAAACTGAAAAGTTTTTAGCATCCAGAGGTGGATATAAAGTTGGTTCATTACGTACTGATAATGGTGGTGAATTTAGAAATAAGCTTTTACATGATTTCCTAATTGAACAAGGAATAACTCATGAGCTTACCGTTCCGTATAATAGTTTTCCAAACGGTGGTGTCGAACGTGGTCATCGTACCATTGAGGAAACAACGAGATGTTTGCTTATCTCAGGCCGTGTTCCACCATCGTTATGGAGTGAAGCTGTGTCATGCGCAGTTTATCTAATTAATCGAATTCCTGTCACCTCCAGACAAAATAAGATTCCTGTTGCTGAGTGGTATCAAATGAAATTACCACTAGATGGTTTTAGCCATTTGCGTACTTTTGGATGTGCTGCTTTTGCAACTATTCCTCACCAACTGCGTGATGGTAAATTTTCTCCAGCTTCTATTCAAGGTGTGATGGTTGGTTACGACTCCGAACACAAAGGTTATAGAATTTTCCATCCTGAAACTGGTAAAGTATTTGTCAGTAATCAGGTTACTTTTGATGAATCTGTCTTTCCGCTTGAAGGTTTCGATATAAATGTAGATACCCATAAATTTGCTACCGGCACATTGAATGGTACTCCATCGTACTCCAGTTCTGCATCTACGTTTACCGGGGGTATTCTGTCAACAGCTTTATCTGCTGGATCCTCAACTTCAAAACCTCCACATTTACCAAATGACAGTACTGATGCTACAAATGTAGATAGTAACGATCGAATGGAAATTGATAACTCCCATACAGAAACCTGTAATCAATCTATTGTTCCAAATTCACCAGACATAACTGATGATCAGGTTAATAATCGCAAGACAAGTAGTGAAACCACTGGTTCCTCGTTGCCTGATGAATCATCCATTGATTCGAATTTTAAACCTTCCTATCATTTAGTATCCACGTCTAAAAATATTAACAGCCAAGATGGTATTTCTAAACAAACTAAATCATACACTGGCTCATCTGGAGCTGTTGTTGTTCCCCCAGAGGATGCAATTGTTAATACTCCAATATCTCTCTCGAGTTATGAATCTACTGGGTCTTCCGATAATTTTTACAGGTTACTAGAACAAAACAGAGATTCATCTCAAAATGATCAATTACAACTAACCCATCTCCAAAACCAAATCGAGTCTTTAGAACGCCTTAACAGCGTCCAGGCTTCTTTACTTGATACAATCAGAAACACACAGAAGTCTTCGAATGATGTTGTTGCTAATGACATCTACAATGAACATATCACCGAATTTCCAATTACGAGATTTACTAAACATCGTAAAGTTCATCTCGATGACATTGATCGGACGGTGGGTATTGGTAACACTTTAACAACTTTAGACATTCAAAATTTCTCATCAGTTACTTTACCTCCTTCCTCGCCTTTTAATGAATCCTCCCAGAAAGTCCAACGAAACGTGTCAGATATGCACTCTGAACAGTTACGTAAGGAAATTTCTGAAAACCGAATTCCTGCATCTTGGTTTCTGTCTGGTTTACCAATTGGCCAGTTATCGTTGCCTTCACCTTCCGACATGGTACCTCTAGCTTCATCTATCCCAGATACTCATTCTACTGATCTTATCACTCAAGGGTTTTACTCTCCAGTTGCTGGTGGATCTGACTCAAGAACCTCCTCTGACTTATCATCCCCGTTGGGTTCCGCATTATATGCTGTTTGTTTAGCTGCATCTGCTAGTAACACCTCGTTACAGGTCCCAGTATCTATAAAGGAAGCATTATATGGTCCTGGTGGTAGTGAATGGCACGCTGCTTGTTTAAAAGAACTCACTGCGTTTAAGGATCATAAGACATATTCTCTGGTTCCTTTACCATCTGATCGTCGCTCTCTTGGCACTCGTTAGGTCTTTACCATCAAAGATGATCATCGCAAAAAGGCTCGCTTGGTAGCCCAAGGTTTTCGTCAAAAGGCCGGTATTGATTACACCGAAACTTTTGCTCCTGTTATTCGCTATGATAGTGTTCGTGTATTTTTGGCACTTGCGTGTACATTAGGTCTTCGTGTCCATCAGATGGATATTGACACTGCCTTTTTAAACTCTACTAAGGATGACTGTGTTTATGTTCGTCAACCTCCAGGCTTTGTCAACCCTTCACATCCAGATTGGGTCTGGAAACTACATGGTGGTGTGTATGGTCTGAAGCAGGCTCCATTGTTATGGAACAAACACATCAACAAATCTCTTATCAATCTGGGTTTTACTAGACATGAGGGTGAATATGGTCTATATTTTCGCAATACACTCGATGGTATCTTATTGGTTGCTCTCTATGTCGTTGATCTATTGGTTGCTTCTCCGTCTGCCAGAGTTATGGATGTCACTAAGTCTAAAATCAAGAGCCTTTATTCCATTAAGGATCTTGGTCCGGTATCAAAATTTTTAGGTATGAATATCTCTCAATCCTCTAATGGGGACATCTCTCTGTCGCTTGCTGATTACATTTCCAAGGCTGCTTCTACTCAGGGTACTCCGTTACACAAACAGGTCCATACTCCTTTGTCTCCTTCTGTCAATTATTTTAATGACAAATCTTCTCCTGTAGAAGATATCACCTCTTATCAAAGTATAGTTGGTCAATTGATTTTTATTTCCAACTCTGGTCGCCCCGATGTTGCTCACTCTGTGTCACTGCTTTCTCGTTTTCTTAAGGATCCTAGGGTGGTTCACCTTAATGCAGCTCATCGTGTCTTACAATATTTGTACACTTACAGACTTCGTGGTCTACATTATCGAACAGGCTCATCCTTAGGACTTACTGTTTACTCTGATGCGTCTCATGGTTCTCTGACGGATCTGCCTTTCTCAACGGGGGGTTACGTCACGTTACTGTCTGGTGGATGTGTCATTTGGTCATCAAAGAAGATTAAAACCACAATCTGTCTTTCCTCCACTGAGGCTGAATATATTGCAGGTAGTGAAGCAGTTAAAGAAATAGAATGGCTCTCCAATTTGTTCAAGTATATGAACCTGAAGTTTGACCAAACTAAATTATTTGTGGACAACGAACCTGCAATAAACCTAAGCAAGAATCCGGTATACCATCCGAGAACAAAGCATATCGATCTTAAATTTCATAAAATGAGACATGTTGTTGAGCAAGGAACCTTGACTCTAGATTATGTCAATACCAAGGATCAGTTAGCTGATATTATGACTAAGGTATTTCCAAGGGATAAATTTGAATCTCTGAGGAATGAACTGGTTGTTGAACTGAAACATTGAGCTGAATGGAATGTTCTGATTAGTGGGAAAGCTTTGCTTCTAAAGCTTCCGGGGGGCTGTTGTAATATGGTTAGCATAAGAAGCATAGCCACACTAGCAAAGCCACGCGAGCTAAGCCACTCGAGCTAGCTCAGCCTTCATCTAATTTAATTAATTAGATGAAATACTAAGTTATATAAAGGGATATGTTTCTATCTTAATGAAACTATTCCTGGTCTTTATCTAATCTCTCTATAATACTATATAATATAATTAAGGATTAGCTTTCCAAAGATATAGTCTAACAATGGATCAACATCTTTTACACTTTTATAGTCCTCAAACCATCTCGTTATCATTGACATGTAATAATCAAATTGTGATTGTGACGAATAATAGCTTTGATTTATAGATCCCTTCAATATAAACTGTTCCCTAATCATTAGTTCGTTTTGATTGAAAGAAAACAAATGCTTTTTATTAAAATCTGGCCATATATTTTCGTAAATCTGTGGATCGATTGGATTCTCTACAACTAAGATAGCCCAAATTTCTTGGAGCCAATACCAACAAGGATTGACTTTTGCAAGTTCTTCGGAAATGAAGAGCTCAATTGTCTCTATATAGGAGTTTAACTTCAATGAGTGATTCAAACAAGCATAAGTAATCCATATCTTCAGATATTTAAATTCGCTGTAGTATTGCGACAGTTGCTTGCCACATACTTTTTGTTCCATTTTTGACTGATACTCATCAATAAATAATAAACGAATCAGTAATTGAAAGAATAGTAAGTTTCACCCCCACTAAATATTGTATGAAAAAACTCTGATAATGATTCGATAAGTCTTTCTTTTTTCACTTTAACTTCTGGGATCTTAATATTGGAGTCTGTATTCAAGCTCGGAAGCATGTCTACAACATAGAGAAAATTCTCAAGAGCATTCGCTAAACATTTATAATAACACCAATTTCTTTTATCCACCGATTGAGGAAATACTTTCGTGCTTTTAGGTTCAAGAGTTGAATCAATTAATGGTATAACTATAGATTTTTTTCTGATATTATCGAAGAAATTTGGTATTATTGCCAATCTTTCATCATAAGAAATAGCTTCCCTTTTAATATCCCAATTTATATCAGAAAACTTGAAATCATCGATGTAAAGTATGTCACGATAGAAGTTACAAGATGTTGAACTTCTCAATTCCAATGGATCTTCAGCACTAAATTTAAAGTTCATAAAATTTTCCAATGGATCAGATGACCAGTAGTACAAATATTTATGAGGTTCATTGTTATACTGAATAGGAATAACACTGTACTTTGAGAACTGATAAGCATTATCTTCGGAAGAAATTGGTCTATATCCAGAAAGAAGTGAATAGTCATATTTTAACTCTTGAGGTCCTCCCATACAAACAACATGAGTACCATTAAATATACCTTCGAATAATTCTTCGCAAGACCAGGGAATAAAGGTTTGATTTGGGTACTGTTGAAATAACTTTTCTGAATCTAAGAAGTTCTTCCCACTAAAATTAATCTGCTCCTCTTCGGTCAAAAATTGTAAATGACCTTTATATGAAACTATAGTAAAGTTAAGATATATAAGATCACAAGGATATCCTTCATAATTTTCTCGTATAAATAGTCCATCTGATATACTGTATGAGAATCCTAATTTGGGAGACCAATTGGAAGAAGTATCAGAGGACATAGTAATGCTAGAAAATTATAAAAATGTATAGATCTGAAGGTAATTCTATTATAAACGTTTCTCCTGATTCGAACTACTAGTAGTGGCGATTGTTATTAAACTTGAAATAGACATCTTTCAAATGTGGTTTATTCAGATTCAACATTCTAAAATAGGTTAGATTCAATATGTTCTGCAACTCGAAGTTGGCTAGATCAGTCAAAAAAATATGTGAAACATATTTACAGTGAGGGTAACATTTCATCAATGTCACTAATGAAGTTACACAACTGAAGGTTACATAATATATCGAGATTTAACAATGTAATACCAGTATCAACAATATGTGATATCGCATTATTATATAATGAATAAGATATGTCATATCTACATAAGAATCATGTTACGCATTAATATTCTATCATAATGAGAATTACATCGTCACAGCAATATTATATGTAGTAGACAACTTGAAATAATTGCGGTCATTTTACTTGTATCTAAATAAATTATATTGTAAGAAAAAAAAACAGGATTAGTATTTCCTTCGAATAGAAGTTGCTTGGGCATTAGTACATTAAATTTTTTATACTTTCTTTTTTCATCAAGTAAAGTAGAATTATTATATTTATATTTACTCGTTTGATTTCTCTTTCTCTAATTCCTCTAGTGCGATCCTTATTTCATCGCAAGTAAAACGTCCTGCCTTGTAAAGTTTAGATGGATACAATTCTGATATTTTTTTAAAATTGGAACTACATCTATGATCATATCCTTGGATATGAGGAAATAAAGCCATATCATATTGAAGATTATATCCTAATTTCTTGCAATGATATTTATAGAGTGGGGTCAAAACTAAAATAGAAAATACCAAATATTCAGATGTTATTTTATCTAATCTTTTTGCTCTTGGAAAAGTCTCTACAGAAAGGAATGTCGTAGCACCTATGTACATTGTCCTATCTCTTGAATCTATAAATACATTTCTATCATCTCCCATAATTTGTAATCCTTGTAGCTGTTTATAACCAAAGTAGCAATCAGTAGCTATGAACATCATAAATAGAAGTCTATCAAGTATCTGAACAATATAGTCAAGAATCTTATTATCTGAAACTGTGTTAGTACTTTTACGCACATCAGGAATAGCCTTCAAAAGGGATTTATCTTCAAATGCATCAATAAGAGAGGGATATTTCACATATTTAAACGTCACAGAGCCACAATTATTGAAATGTTCACATATCCCATAGATATTGATACTTTCAGCATATAATGATAGTTCTGCCACTTCTTTTACCGTCAAAAGATCCAAATAATTAGACTTGATTTTATTTAGGTATTGGTCCATGTCCAATTGGATATCTTCATTTAATAAATTCAGGTATTCTTTCGAGAAAGGTTTTCCATTCAAAAGACCTTTTCCCTTACCAAGATGTCTTAAATCATATTCTGGGTTTGCTTTTAGTTCATTTGTGATAATATTATCAATCTGTAGAATCCAGAACCAATTTGGATTGACTTTTGGTAGTTTTTCAGAAACAAATAAGCCAACCATTTCCTTATAAGAATCAAGGACCAAAGAATGATTCAAACATGCATAAACAATCCATACTTTTAGACAGGTAATATTCTCTTTAAACTCGTTTAATGATAAAGTAGATATACAATTTGTGTTCTGAATTCCTTCCCAATCAAGCACCGATAAACGAATTAGTAACTGAAAGTAAGGATAGTACGTTTTGCCTTTGCTGAATATAGTATATAAATACTTTGATAATGATTCAAAAATGTTCTCCACTTTCACCTTTACTTCAGGTGTCTTAATATGTGAAACAAAACTTAACTTTGAAAAAATATTAATCACAAACAAAAATTGTTCAAGAGCTTTGATTAACGCAGGAAATCTTTCCTTATCAACCCTTTCTGGGAATGCTTTTTTATTTGTAGTACCAAGATAAAAATTCGCTGATAGAATAATAGGAACTCTCTTCATAACATCGAAGAACTTGGTGCTATTTCAAAAATAGAGTCGTACTTGATAATAGAACTCCTATTAACTTTATCAGACGCTAGGGAAATATCCTTTTCAGTGAAGTCTAAATCATATATACGTAATGTGTTATCATAGAACTCTGGTTCCAGTTTGGTATATTCTATTTTTGGAATATAGTTCTTACCTATATATTTTTCTAGATTGAGTGACTTTTTCTCTAAGTATAGGTACTTCTCAGAGCTATCATGAAAGATAATTGGAATAACTTGAAGGACTATAACGGTATCGTACTCTTCTTTATCTGAACATGAAGATTTATCAATTAAGTAATATTTACCATCTTTAATGCAAAAACTTTTTGTAATATTTACCATCTTTAATGCAAAAACTTTTTGTAATATTTAATCCATCAACAAACAAATCGATGGATTGGAATGCAATAGCATCCGATCCATCAAATTGTTTTCTTAGATTTTCCATATCTTCCATATTTGTATATTTTAATCTTTCCCTGAGGCTATCACTAAGAAACTTCTCATGATCATTGTAATCAACAATAGTATCATTTATCTTGACATTATTTTCTAGAGTACTACAAAATAAAAATCTATATCTAATCGAATATGTTTTTTCTATAGTCATGTTAGCTTGGGAAGTTGGACTGCCTGTGATACAATACCGTTATTTTGATCAAAAGAAGAAATACCTACTAAATCTAATCCTATTGTATTATCTATCCTATGATACTCAGATTACACTGGTTTATCAACGATTGTTTTTGTCCGAATTGAGTAAAAGTACATCTCTCTGAGATCTAAAGATCTTGCTTTACCTTTGTTCGATGTTGAGCTATTCTCGCTTGTTCGGTTTTTCTGAAATCAGGAAAAATGCTAAATCTAGTAGCAGTTCCGGTTGTTGCTATGGTAAGATAGGGTAACCTTCGGTGTAGAATTTCGTTACCAAAAAGTTGGCACGTACAGGCACAAATAATAAAAAGAAAATGTACCTGTATATACCGTAAATCACCTTCGTACACCTAGTTACAATCAAATTGGCCTCTTGTTTAAAAGAGATCAGAACAAATTTCCAATACACGTTGAAAACATATAACTTTCATTTATAATTTAACAGAACTTAATGTCTACGACACTTACTTTTGTCTTACTATTTGTCATTATACAAGTCTAGTAAGATTGTCATATTACATACTAAAAGGACTAATCGTTTAAAAAACCCTGATATAAATGATCCTGTCATTTAGGGAATAATATTAAACAATTTGGGTATTGTTTAGGAGATTCAGAGGATAGTATTAGTGTGAAGTTATCAGAACAAGAGTATTTGATTAGATTTGAGAATCTACTTCTAGTAGCTTCCAATCTTAATATTCTCTTTTAAGGGGTTGTGGAAGCACTCAAAATGTTCAGATGAGGTTTAGTTATAAAGGTGATTTGTATGATCATCCACGAGCTGCAAACTGCTGTTAAAAATATTTTAAAGATGTTAATTGGTTATATTACTTCTCATAATAAAGAGTCTTTCTATACAAGACAAAGTGATATTTTTGGGTATCTGGGTAGGTAGTGAAATTAAGAATACTGAATCTGCAAGTAATGTTTCCAATTTGTTGCTTAGAAGGAAATTGACATAAGAGGTATGCTTGGTTATTTATAATTGAAACACTTTACCATTATCCTGTAACATCATTTGAAGTTGTATTGAGTCAATATTATAAGTTTGACGAAGTCATATTATGGAGTCAAGGAATTAAAATGAATGCTGGTTTTTAAAATGGTCATAATAGTCTTGGTTCTTTTTGTATTTAAAAGCATTGTAACAGTGATGAAAGGGATTTTTTAATGATGTTTTTGCTGATGATTGTCTAACAGGAACATATAATAGTGGTGCTAATGTAACAAAATTATCAGGGTTAAATATGAAATACCTAAGAGCTTATAATCCTAAATTACACTTTAACAATTTAGATGATGATAAGCTTATTTATGGTATTACTGATGGAAGTGGTTAAGATTTTGGTTTTCAACCCAGAGGCAAAAGTGCATTTAATCAAGACTTCAATTTTGGATACAATGCTAATGAGAATACTGGCGCTAAAAAGAAAAATGATTTATCTATGATTAACAGCTTTGGTACTACAAAGATCATGCTACTAATGAATCTTATGTTCAAACTGATAATTATACTTGGTGTAATATATCGTTTCGTTCATAAATTCAACATCAAGATTTTAAAGATAATATTTTGGATGTTTTAAGAAATGAAGTTAAATATAATAGTATACCTAATTATTTTCATTTAGAAAAAGCTAATGGTACTGAATTACGAACTTCTGGTATTATTATTGTAACAGATTAAAAAGAATATCTTATTTGGAACCAATTTTCAAATTCCATATCCAAGACCCAATAATTTTATCCAGAATTTGGAAATGAGATACCCATCTATATATTCTGTAGTATTTTCATATTCTTTCATACCGGTTAAATTAACGTCATAATTCTGGACGTGTGTCAACGAAGAATTACCAGTCAGTCTCACAACGGCAGGGCCGACACGCATACCAGTATCATCGACATATAACTCATATCTTTGAATACCGATAATCGCATGTCTTAAGTTGTTGAAATTAAAACGTAAGTCCCTAAGTTGACATGAGGGATAATCATTAAAAAGGAACTCAAACTTTTGATAGCCAATTAAACTCCCTCTGATTGGATCTACAAATAAATAAGATTCTAAAATTTGAGATGTGAATTCTTTATCATTTAGATCCTGTTGAGGTGTAAAGCAAATAAGATTTGGATTCAAGTTGCTATCTGAATTTATTTCGTTTAGTATATCACGATTCATGACATAGTTCATCTCATGACTATGCTTGCGCATAATTGGGGATAGAACCAAAATAGCGTATATAATATAGTCTGAAGTCAACTCATCTACAGCCTTGCATATAGGAATATTTGATTTATTTTTTGAATAAGTTGCAATGAACTCCACAGTTTTATCAATCGGATTAATGAATAGATTTCTATTATTACTAGCATATTTAAGTTCTCTCATTTCGGGAAAATTATATGGACTACCAGAAGAAATGTAGATCATTAACATTAAACAAGTTAGACAATCGACAATAAGATTTAATATTTTATCATGATCTTCTTCATTATAGAAGCAAATTGTTGGAACTACTGACCTCTGAATATCTATATTAAACAAATCAGTAATACTTATCTTTGGATGATATCGGTTTTCAAAAGCAGCACCCTTTGAAGATTTGATTGTCATTGATGCCACTACACTTACATCTTTAAGATCTTTGTAATAATTCCTTAGTTCTTTTAACCTACTATCGAACAGATTTTTAACATCGCTATAAAGTTCCACCAAATACTCTTTTTGAAACGGCTGACCAACTAACAAATATTTTCCAGCACCTAAAGGTCTAAAGGTGTGATCCGGAATCTTGGCTATTTCATTGACCAGCAACTTATAAATGTTATCAATTGAACATAAGGGTTTGCTTTGTTTAGATTCGGTAGAATATGCAAATAATTCTATTGTACTTGAAATATTTTGTAATTGAACACTACGGAATAGAGTTGCGTAAGCTACCCAACATTTCAAGGAATCTAAGGTATATTGAAACTCCGAGAACGATAGAGTAGGAGGTAATTTTTCAGACGGCTTATTCCAATCAAAACAGGATAGACGAATCATGAGAAGCAGGTATTCTAAATATTTTTCATCACCAGTAATAATAGCATAAAAGATTTTACTAATCTTGGTGGTCAGATTGTCAGAAGTGTAATAAAGGGGGATAATTTTGTTTTTAGATAATTCTAAGCTTGGAAATACCTCAATCAGATATAGAAAGTTGGCAAACTTTGTTCCATATAACTCTAATGTACTACCGGTCAAAGTCTCTGGGAATGGCTCTCCATCAATAGGTTCTAAAACTGTTTTAATAAACGTTATACAGGGATTATTCTTTCTGACATGATAATACATTTCATTGAAAGTATCAATTGATTTTTTTTTAATTTCATAGTAGCTTTTAGTATAGTCTTTTAAGATATTTAAATCATTATCACAAATATTCATGTTGTATACTTCCATAACATCCTTAAAAAAATTGACCACACCAGAATTTATAATAGGTGTGAAATAGTCGTCATCATCAGAATAATAATCAGAATAATCATCATCAGCAGCAATATGTTTATAGTAGAGATACTTGGTGGCTTTATTATATTTTCTAAGTGGGATAACGGTAAACCTTTCAGCATCTTTTTCTTTCTCCTTCTTACTACGATCTGTAAACAATATTAAATTGCCATATTCCCAATAGTAACGCCTTGTAATAGTGTCACAATAATTAAACAATTCAGTTGAGTTACAAGGGATCATTTCAGAATGTTTATTTCTTTCACGTAATTCATCTATATTGATTAAGTCAAATTTCTTAAGCTCTATTCTTTCGTCATCCCTAAGAAAACCTTTACGAAAATTAACATCTACAATCTTACGAGTAACATTTCCATTATTCTTTTCAGTGTAAATTAAGAATCCATCAATGACTGTATATCTTTCAGATATAGTAATGATGTCAGATGTGGTAGTTGTAACGGAGGACATTTTTAATAATAATTTGAAAAGTTTAGTTAAGTTATTCTGTTGACAGCAACTATCTGTTAAGGAGATTGTAGTGATCAGGACTAAGTGGAATATATATAACAAGTTTCGCTAAAATAGTATACTAATAGGCTATAAACGCCAAATTTTATCTCCTAATCTTAATGTCCAAGGCCACTTTACGCGTATCAAGAATTTTTATCACATCAGCCTAACTATCACCTCTTTAACAATTACCCTGAACAACCATCCTTGGTACCTGACGTAACAAACAACACCGACCGGAAAAAAACTGGATCTGATACTGGCCTACCCAGTTTTTTTTAAATCACGTGGTCGATGAAAGAATAATTGTCTTACATAGTAAAGCTATTCACGTGATCTTGTCAAAAGTAAGGTGTAGGTCTGAATATACCCAGTAATTCTTCAATAAAATAAGACAATTATACCCAACTAAGTTTGTTTAACTATGAATTGAAAGGCTTCTGGATATATCGCATGTGTTTTTAATTGTTTTTTGACTATACTGCTTAAAAAAATAGAACTATCAGTCAGCTTTTTTTGCCCTTAATCATGGCCGATGACACCAATCAATCAATGGCAGAAGAGATACTTCTAGAGAATATTAAAATCAGTTTATTGGACGGCCATAGAGGACTTATTATTCCTCATAATTGGTTATAAATGGCTTATATAATGAGCAAAATATGTCAATCTTCAAGAAAGTGAATTACTATATTAAAAAATTATACTGTTGTTGAAAACTATTTTTTGCAAAATTATACTATAAATTTTAGAAGGGTCTTTACTTTCATCTGCTTAATAATATCACCTTAGTTTGACAATACAGCAACATATTTTTCACCAGAATTCTTACCCTCTTTGATACCTTGTAAAAGGGCTGGAATATCTTCTAACCCATTTTTGAAGGTTTTAACTGGAATATGGTGAATTTCCCCATTATTAAGCCTTGGGTTAATGAAATGAACAAAATTAATTGGGGATTGTCTATAAGCTGGTTCAGCAGGTTCATAATGAGCACCAAATGGGACCTCTTTACCAGCAGCCAAGTACACCATGGTACCACTAACTACGACATTGTCTCTTCTCAATGTCTTTTCTACATTTTCAATAGACATTGTAACCAATTGAATAACAGTTGCTTTTTCATTTTCAGCAGCACATTGATAGACTTGGTTCAAAGTCTGTGGGTTGGAAACACCGTCAACTAGATGCTGAATGCTGTTGTACTTGGATTTAATTTGATGGATTACATCCGAATCATGATAATCAAAAACTTCATCAGCACCATAAGCCTTTAAAATTGCTTCGTGTTTCTTGGAGGCTACAACGATAATTTTGGTATAACCATGTAAATTATTCGCCAACTGGATTAATAATTGACCAATTGCAGTAGCACCACCCCAAATCAATAGTGGGAAATTGTGTTGGACAGCAGCTGGTCTCCATTCCAATCTATTCCTTAAATTATGGGTCAATACCATACCTGCAGTGGTTAAGGAAAGTGGCAAAGAAGCTGCTCCCTCCAAGGTAGAAATCAGACCTTCTGGTATGTCTGAATCTGCAAACTTCATACTCTTTAATGGTTTGTGAGCAGTAGCAGTATCGACAGCGGTATACTCCGCAAAAGCACCGTTTGTAGGGAAGCTGATTGAACAGCCATGTACAAACCCATAAATAAAATCTCCAACTGCCCAGCCTTTAATATTTGATTCTAATTTAACAATTTGACCAACAACATCACAGCCAATGATAGAACCTTGTGGGCCTAACTTATAGTCGATATGTTTCCAATCAGTTGGGTTACCAGCAACAGCAATTGTTTTAACCAAAGCATAACCCTCTTCCAATTCTGGTAGTGGAATTCCTTCTTTAACAACGGCTTTGTCACCTCCTATAACGGCAGACTTCATGGTGGTTGGGATTTCAAAATTTGCAGACATATGTGATTTTTAGTATATGGAATTGTAGTTTCACTTGTTTGGAATGATATTATCTTTTTAGGCCTTCAATTTTGTCATAGTAATTCATTCCTACTAAATAATATATTGTAATGACATCAAAAGTTTACTGTTATTTATATATTTTCGATAACAGGTTTTAATTAGTAAGTATTTAAGAATTTTATAGTCGCTTAATGTATACTGATACTATACGATTTAGGCGTTGTTATTAGCAAGGAATAGACGGATAAATCCTTGTTTGGTTCGAACGATTGATTTTAAATAACATTCCTCTTTCTAAGTTGGCCATTAGAAATCTTTCTCTATACGAGTCGCTTCCCCGACACCTTTAAAGTTTAGAAAAACTGATATCCGAAGAACCAGAATTCCAAATATTCAGTAATAAAGCGTCAAAATTTGTCCAAATAGATTGACTTGGTTCATTAATGCAGTTCGGCCGAGGATATTCAATGTTCGGACCCGTAAGTTTCGGCTCGGTGAATTTAATATCTATGCGTAGTACCTCTCTACCAACAAGTTCTCCGCACTAAATAACTAAGGAGATTCCTTTCTTTTCTTGGAATTCCTGAATTTCCAGCGAAATTTTGTATCAAACCTTGGTCTGCCTCAATCTTGACGTTAACCCTTTTAGTTTCTTTTCCCCTGATTTTGTATTAATAATATTGAGATATTTCGAAAAGGTCAATTTGAAATAATCCCCTCCAAATATTTTGTCAGAGGCAATTGATTGAGATTTATGGCATAATACCTTGAATAATTATTAATACATTTCAGAAATTTCAATTATAAAAGTGACATACTCTCGGAATTTGTGAACTAAAGAATGTCGAACTTGTTCAATTAAAAAAAAAAAGCACACAATTAAATGTAATTAAATAGATCTATAATATCAGTATTATCAAAATGAAAGTTTTAATTGTTTTTGCTCATCCAGATGAACGTTCTTTAAACGGTTCCTTGTTGAAGGTTTCTGTCAAACAACTAGAAGATGATGGACATGAAGTCAAGGTCAGTGACTTGTATAGAATGAAATGGAAGGCTGTTATTGACGAGGATGATTTCTTGAATCACAATAAGGGAGAAAGGTTACAAGTTGCAGCTGCCTCTGGTGGTGCATTTTTCAACAACAAATTAACTGAAGATGTTGTTCAAGAACATGAAAAATTGCAATGGGCTGATACTGTTATTTTCCAATTCCCAATGTGGTGGTTCCAAATGCCAGCAATTTTAAAGGGTTGGGTTGATAGAGTTTATTCTTTGGGTTATGCTTGCGGGGTTGGTGAACACAATGAAACCAAATGGGGTGACCGTTACGGTGATGGTTTTTTCAAAGGTAAGCGTGGTATGCTAATGGTAACTATTGGTGGTCCAGTAAGTAATTACAGTGAAAGAGGTATTTGCGGTCCTATCGATGATGTTCTATTCCCAATCAACCATGGTATCTTATACTATCCTGGTTTCAGTGTTTTACCTTCATTTAAAGTTTTTAAATCTAATACTATGACTTCAGAGGTATATGACGATTGGGCCGCTAAATTAGAAGAACATTTGCACAACATTGAAAACATGGTGCCAATTCCTTACAGAAGTCAAAATGATGGTGACTATTCTATTCCATCTTTGGAGATGAAACCAGGATTTGGAAAGCCGGGTGCTCAAGGTTTCTCTTTACATATCGATAGCTAAGTATATATTCATATATGTATGTCGTTTAACTGGTCGTTTTTTAATAGTACACTTCAATATTCTACTCTTTTTCTGTGTGGTTCAAATTTAATTTGTAATGGTATATTTGTTCCAATCAATTGTTGTGTAAACAAGTATTTTGACAAATATACTGTGGAATGATAAAAGAAAATTATTAGCACAGAAATATTTGCAAAAAATTATTTATCTTGTTTTAAGCGCACGTCCTAGATCCTGGAATTAGGTTCGGCCATGACAACAAGTATAGTATAATTGAAAATATTCGATGATATTTTACGGTGTATAAAATCTTGATATAAAATTAATAATGTACATAGGAAAAAATATAAAATGAGTTATTAATAACTTTTTAATTTGAGTGGGACAATTTTTCACTAATTATCGATTTCATATATACACTAATAGACATATATTGTACAATACAACATATCACAACTACCAAATTGTTCCAATAACCATGAAAGTTATTCGCAATTAATATTGCTCCCAGCTGTACCATTATACGATTACAACAGGGACACAAGATTAGTAACTGAAAATTAATTGAATTTGATTCACATTAATACTATAGATACGAAAATATACTTCACTATTTTTCCTAATATGAAGAATAATATATCACTATATAAAAAAGTTCAAGGAGTTTGCGCATATTGATTGTATTTGTCGTAAAATTCATTCCAATACAATCTAAGTGCAGGTTGTTCCAACCCTAGTTTTGTTATCTTGTCAACTTCTTCATCAGTTAAATCAAAACTGAATAGATTCTGTGCATTTACTATTCTTTCATGTCTAGAAGAAGTGGTAATTGGAACGATTCCTCTCTTTGTTACCCATCTCAATAAAATTTCAGAGTCTGTTTTACCATACTTTGCAGAAACCTCATCAATATACTTATAAAATGGCAATTCGTTAAAATTTTTTGGTTTCCTTTGTAACGGAGCCAATGGACTATAAGCTTCCAATTGAAAGCCATTTTGTTGACAGTACTTTACAATGCCGGGAGTTTGATTTTGCAAGAACGCATTGAATTCAATTTGATTTACCTGCGGTTTAACATCTGCAATTTTCATTACTCTCTCTAAGTGTTCAATGGAAAAATTGGAAACACCAATATTTTTTGCCTTACCTTCCTTATATAATAATTCCATTTGCTTCCAAGCAGTTTCTATAGAAAGGTCCTTGTATTCTGGGTCGAATTCGGGAAAATGTAATACGTAAAGATCAACGTAATCTAAACCAAGACTATCGAGAGCAGTATTTAAAGCTTCGATTGGATTAGCCGTGATCTTTAGTAAAGTGGAAAACTTATCAGTAATAAATATTTCATTTCTTGGTTTCGACGACTCCTTTAAAGCCTTGTTTAATTCAGGATATGTTCTATAATATTCGGCAGCATCAACATGGACAATTCCAGGCAATGATAAAGCGAACTTGGCCTGGTCTACTAATTCATTGGACAATAAATGTGCTTGAGCCTCTGTCTTTACCACTTAGTCCCTGTTCCAATAATGGCTACAGCTCGAATTTTGTTACCATTATTCAATGTGAAAAATTGTTGGTTCAAAGACATTTCAAATGAAAGCTTGATGGATTGTTGCTGTCATTAAGAGGAGGATTTCTTAGGTATCCATTAAATTCAACATTCATGAATACCCAAAATGATAAAACTGTTCTCTCTTTATATACCCCTTCCTTTTACGTATCCTTTCTTTTTACATATCCCTTCTTTTCATTTTTGGAAATGGATTTTATAATTAATAAGAATACTTGTTGCTAAGATGAGTATAGTTCTCCATATTAAGTCGTAAAAAAACAATTTGTAAGAATTTAAAATTTATAATCTAAACCAATATCAATCTGTCCTGAATGAATTATATTTGTATCTAAATAATCATATTCTTAAAATCCGGTACCAAATTGACAGGCTACATCTCTAATAAAATATCTTCTTCAAAATGAAAATAAAAACCGTCAAAATATGTATAATCTGGTTTTACACCTTTAACATTGCACAATTTTCATAATTAAATGTCGGAAGTGTATCATTTTCTAAGGAAATGACAATATATTCTACAGTTCTTATTTTCAGAAATAATCTCAATTCTATTTAGAGACTTCCCCAAACTTACACCATCTACACGGTAAAAACCAGACTTGATATATTCGTAAAACTCCATCCGATTATTAAAAGCACACTAATAATATACACTATACTTATAAGTTGGGTTGAAGTCAATTAACTTCAAACAAGTTTCTTTGATAGACATGTTAGGAAATCAAATAACATTTGGAATAAACTCATAAATAATATCATCTTCTAAATAATTACTCATAATAATACTAGCAGAAGTAGTTCTATTAACAATTTTATGATACTCAATACCAGAATATCTTAATTTAGAAGTAAAATAAAGACCAAACATATAACCTCTAATACTATAAAAATAAATATTAAACCTTTTTTCATTATATAATACAAAATATTTAATAAAAATATCATAATCATCATGAAAACTGCAATACAAACTTCATAATGCGTATCTGATATACTATTTAATCTTATTTAATATGCTTAAATAAGTCATTCTTTTGGGTAATGACAATATCGCATGTAATTAGAATATTTTTATTATTCTGGATCACAATTATGACTGAATCATTAAACTCCACATCTGAATTTAAGTTTTCCTATATATACTTTCAATATATAAAATACAATGAGTAGTATGCAACATTAGAATTGTTTAATTATGATGGGTGATACTCAAGATCTATATTCTACATATGGACAAGCGGTATGTAAGTTCCTATTAAGCTATGCTGAGGCAATACAGAGGTTTAAACCCATATGACTCTCTAGCTAGGTTCATCGGTTTTTGTTATAGAAGGTACATCTGGTCTTCAGCAATCAAGTACATAGGTAATGATTTCGAACAATACTTCATGTCAGGCATAACATAATAATATATTGGGATGGTTACACATTAATCCGTATTCTTGTCGACTAGTACATTCACAGTTATTATTTGTGCTAGTACGTTTCAACTTTTTAGTAGCAACAGTTTGGGTTTCGGATCTGGTATAAAAAAAAAGGACAAAACAGATGTCTGAGATGACTATGACTCCTGATTATATCGAGTCAGTCATTCTGTCAAAAAAATTAATAAAGTTCCCATTGAGATCATGATGAAATAAAAATACCTAAAGGTGTCTAAAATAATTGATAATTTAACCTCAGACAAATTAAGCCCATATTAACAACAATATTATTGAACAGTAATATATAAATTAAGTTAAAGTATTTATTGCTTCAAAAACCTTAATCTGAAAAAGTTTATTATATTCCAAAACATCATAACATCTCCGGTTTTAATTGTCCAACGACTCTTAAAGGTCCGAACCCTAAATGAAGCTAAAAAATTTAAAATTTTTGGTTTCATTAGCATTAAAATTTAGCCAATAAATTAATTTGAATTCTGGAAGGAAATATAAAAGCAAAACTCCTTTTAAAACACAAAAGGGCTCCCATTTTTCCCCAAATGGAAAAGAGGGTTTCTTTTTTTCCCCCTCCACCCAACCAATTTAAAAANGCAAAAAGAACCTTTGACTGTGTCAGGTCCCTCCCTTTTCTTCATTTAAACAATTTATTAAAAAAGATTTTCGAAAACCTCACCCTCTCCTATATATAGAACCCCGGGAATTTGA